GCAATGATAGTGGTTCTAAATAAATCTCTGTGAAGTCCCTCAGTACAATGGCAAATTTCAAACAAAGATTCAACCATGAATACCAAGGAGCTTTCAAAGCAGCTCCTGGAAAAGGTTGTGCAAAGGCACAGACCAGGAGAAGGGCAGAAAACCGTTTCCAATTTGATCAGGTTACTTTTTAAGGGCCAGTGGTCAGGCTGTCCCTCCAAACTGAGCAGCCGGACAAGGACAAAACTGGTTAGGAATGCAATCGCGAATGTAACGATGACTTTGGAAGTGCCACAGAGTTCAGGGGCAGAGTTGGGAGAAAATGTCCATGAGTCAGCTACAGTATATGTCAATCCCTCCATAAGGGGGGCTTGGGGTTTGCTACTGTACGACTCAACCTAAGTGATATTGCAAACATGTGGCAAAAGGTTTTATGGTCTGACAAGACAAAAAAGGAAGGTTTTGGTCACAATACAAACTATTGTATCTCATTGCATTTTGCATTGCCAATTCATTGTAGCTTCTCAATATAAATCATAGCTGACATTTTATTTTCTCATAATTTTGACAACAGTTATCTTAGGGGTTGTGAATATGCCTTCTAGATATGAATAATGTACCAACAGACAATAAATTAATAATGATTCCTTACACTTATATAGAGCTTTTTTGGACACTCCACTCAAAGCACTTTACAGGTAATGGGTGTTCCCCTCCACTAAGTTCAAAGATGGGGATCATTAGGAGGCCATAATTGGTAAAGGCCAGGGTAAAATTTTGGCCAGGATGCCAGGCTAACACCCTCACTCTTTTCAAGAAATACCCTGGGATTTTTAATGACCGCAGAGAGTCAGGACCTTTAACATCTCATCAGAGGGACAGTGCCCCCTACTGGCTCCACTAACACCTCATCTAGCAACCTTAGTTTTTCCCATGAGGTCTCTCATCCAGCTACTGACCAGGCTCACACCTGCTGAGCTTCAGTGGGTTGCAGGGTGATATGGTTTAGGATTAGGGTGTTTTTATTAATATGCAATTAATCTTATACATTAACTGTATAAGCAGAATCTAGAAGCTGTTTTATGGATTGTAGTCATCAAGTATCTGGTACTATGGAAGTGATCATCTGTCACTTGGTCAATGGTGTAAAGGCGATTTGAGATTCCCCTACCCCTGTAGATTCTAGAACTTTGGTATATAATAAGAGACAAATTCAAACAGATTAGAGGTGCAAATCTACATGCAAAGTTTGAATGTTTACATGTTTCTATCACATTTAATAACTTGATCATGATTGTATGATTACCATGCATACTGTATCACCAGTTGAATTTTAGCACAACAGTGTCACAAGTTCTTCTGTAGATTATATTCCTGAGGATTTACAGTATGCCTTATCAAAACTATGTTTAATTACTTTCTGGGCACCTTGTAACTGACATCTTTGTAGGGATTATGGTAGTCATGTGTTCAAAGCCTGTTACATTGTTTTTTGAAGACCCAAGCCTAAAAGATCAGAACCAAACCTAAGAAACCAAAAGACACATGTAATTGCAATATTAAGAAACAATAAGCATATATTTATATATATATAAACATATACATATATTTTCAGGTGGGTAGCTGCGTCACCATGCGTAGGCTGCAATAGGTTTATTCTATGCTGAAAAGAGAAGAAAGAACTTGTACTGTAACACACCTGGGGGTTAGTGAGCAATTGCAAGCAATCTCTTAATAGGCCTCTCTAAGCACACAGGCACAGAAATTGACAAAAACCAAACAGAGCCTTACCTCCTCTTTGAGCATCTTACTGTATTTCTGTTCGCTCACTAAATACACTGGACAGCTCAACTGCTAAGCCAAGAGTTTTCTCCCATAAACCCTCTCTCTGCAACTTCTCCCAAACAATTCCGGTTCCATACAGGGTTCTCCCACCGATCCTTCTCTCAGCTCCTTCTCCCACTGTAGCAATGTAATACAGTGGATCTACAGTATGTCCCCAGATGCCAGAAGCACAATTCTGGAAACCTCTGCTTCCTGGTTTTTAACTCACCAGTTGATCAGCTGTCTTCTCCCACAGCTTTCTGGGAAATGTAGTTCAGACCAGAGCTTCCATCCTGACTTATCTTGCTGTCCCTTTACAGTACATTGCCATTTATGTCTATAACATAATTCAATAGTCACCTGGCTAGATGAACAGGCATCACAATTTTCTGTCATTTTAACTAATCCAATAATTTATTTAGTGTGAATCAGAATGTTTGACACAACTGAGAAAACTGAAATTCTGTCAATCTAAAAACAAGAGACATTTGCAATGTTTTATTGAGAGGCTGGTTGAAGTTGTGATTTAAAGTGGGCCTAAAAAAATTCATATTATTGAGACTAAGCAGCAAAAGAACTATATCATTCTATTTTGCATGTAGGTTTTTTTAGAAAAAATCATATTCAGAGATTCTCGATATTGATTTAATTATTATTTTTTTTAATTTAGCGTAATTTTGGTCAGATCATGACTGACCATGATACACTCCAGTAAAACAGATTGTGGCATAAGTACTAAATCATTTCCTTAGAGAAGGGGTTGATTGGGCACAGCTGATGAGGTTATTGAAGCTGTTTAATTTTACATTTGGTATAAATGTAGGAAGAAAAAGGTAAAAAGGAACCAATATGCCTGGATTAGGCCACTCCAGACACTGGACTAGGCTGGACTAGGTCCACACACTGTTGATAACCATCTGGACTGTTCATTGACAGTAATTTCTAAACCAGCAAAATGTTATGGGCAACCACAGTCCATCAATACTATAGCATAATCAAGGAGACTATGACTCACAACATCACACCAAGGTCAATGACGAGTGTATTGTTACTACATTGTAACTCCATACGCACTGAATTCATGCAAACTGACTGCACAGCATTACATTAATCAAGTCCTCCAAGTCATCCTGACTTGACAGGATTCTTGGAGGACAAAATGCATCCATGTGCTGCTCCTATAACGATGGCTTCCATGTGAGATGAGGATGTAAAAGGTGTGTCATGGATGCCCTATTCTCCAGACTTGATCTCCACTTTTGTGGGATGAGCTGGGATGATGTGTGTTACCTAGAGCTCAGAAAACCATACACAGACACTTGCCTGTCTGGGTTCAAAGAGGAATGAGACAGTATCTGTAACTTTGTGTAAAGCATGCATCACAGATGTGATATCAGAGCACCTGTTTTATAAAGACAACTGTCCTTTCCTTATGACAATAGTGAGCGTTACAGTTATATGTAATGTTATAAGTTTCTATTTGATACCCAGTATATACTGTACACACATTATCTACAGTATACAGCACTCTGCCAAATCTCATACAATATCTCTGTGCTCAGCACCCTTGAGACTGTGTTCCTACAACACCTCTTAGAAAGGAGAATGATTGTTCTTAGCCAACCGTTCATTTCACTACCTTTTCCAATTCTTAAATTAGTATCCTGTATGGAACGCTTCTCCAATATTCCAAGAACTAATTAATCTACTGTGTAAATTAAAAAAATGTTCATCTGTACTGTATACAGTCCTGTTCACATTATTGTAATTAACTTTCTCGAGGTTGGTCACTCCAAACGTAAGGCTAGATTGTAATTAACTCGTATTGCTTATCAAGCATGGTTAATGAGACATAATTATAATTATCACTGTAATTAAATTCTGAATGCATACCTCAGCTTTGAATCTGAATGTATTGACACAGGAGAAAAAATTGAGGACTAGCTCGGCGCTTCTTATCAACAGCACTTTGTCCTAATTCTGTGACAGAGAACAGAGCCACTATATGCCTTTGGGATTTGAGGATTTGATGATCATCATATGCAACACACACTCCCAAATAATTGGTGTCAGCAGGGTCTTCTAGACCTTTATTTCTCTCCGCCCTGGAGATAAGTAGTTCTTTGATGTCTGAAGCACTGGCACCTCAATAATCCTGAAAGAGAATTTTCAGGCAGATCTCAATTATCAGTGCTCAAATGAAACAACAAAAAAAACAGGGCACTAAATTCTTGTTGCAAGTCTCAAAACAGCTGTGGAAACGTGATTGTTTGCTTTTTTAATCTAAATTCAATGATTTGTGGAGGAGTGTGGCTGCAACATTTACAAAAAGCCTGGGTATAACTCACAAAATGATGCAGAGTGATACATGATACATGAAGTGATACATGAAAATTCTGTAACACAAAAATGTGGAATATTTTCTGGACCTCAAGAATTTTGGAACACAATAATATCAGTCAATAATTCATATTTGTTAGCATTCTGTATGAGTGTAGATTATTTTAACTAACTTATTTTAAGTGAAGTTATCTTATGCATAGATATGTTCCCTCAAAGTGTCTGGAAGTGCTGTATCTATAATGAAACACTGCAAACTCAGGACCAATACGCTGGTGAATTGTGTAAAGGACTTCTTGTAACAGGTGGTCACTAGTTCTTAATTTAAATTAGAAAACACCTAGAATATTACCAGGTACAAAAGTACATACAGTATAATACATGAAATATCACTGGTTCACTATTAACTAATGAACTATTAGTATCTGGCACAAAGACCTTGGGTAAAAGCACTGTTTTCATACAGGTATGTGAAAGTGTTCAACACGTTAATAGCTGAAAGAAGTGATTGTTACATAATTTCTGAGGGTTTTAGCATTTAAGAAATGCCTGTCAGATGATAGCAGTGTGTTGTCTTGGTTATATTATTTGGTTTTGTCTCTGAAATAAATACAACTGTAGCAAATAAATGTATGAAGTGAAACAGAAAATAGGAAAAAACTACTTTTGTGCATAAACGGCATGACTACAATACATTTCTTTGTGGTGTCCTTTACCGTCTTCAACAGGAAAATAAATTCTTTCTCTTACAAATCTCAGAATAGTTTACTAATTTTAAAATACAGCAGGTTACACAGAAACAAAACACATTCACATACAGTACTGTATATGAAAGGCATCTTGAAAATTATCTTCAGAAAATATTAAATACAGCATTTGTTTGAGGTTCTGTCTATCATGCACAGTCTATGAATGTTTTATGATGCTGTACAAGTAGGCATTGTTCCTTTCTAAAATAATTATTCCATTGTTTCTATGAGCATGCTTTTTCAGTCCAGGCTTTTTCAGTGCAGGCTTTTTTTGAGACGAAGAAAAGTGCCGGTGTTCTTGCTGATGGTAACCTGAAAATCGGCTGTCATAAAAAATAAATGACAAAAAGACAAAACAGAAAAAGGATTAAATTTGTAATGCTGGTTCTTGAAATACATTTATGTTCCCATTTTATTTATTATTAATAGTTTATGGGTACACCTGTCTATATGGGTATCATGCAAGAAATCTCTCACCGAAAACACAGGTACAAGGTACCAGCATAAAGCTAGTGGTTCGTAGAATTTTTTACAGGATCAATCAGAGCTGTTATTAATAGGAAGTCCTCTTGGGGTTTTTTTCAGTTTTGAGCCTTTAATTATCATACATACTGTAGCTGGTTTTCCAAACATCTGCGAAACAAACTTGGATAAAACAACATGTCTGCACCTGGTTTAAGTCCTGCTTGTGTGATTTGTACTACTTTCACATTACAGCCTCTCTTAACACTTGATTTAACACATGGGCAAACCACAGGAACATTTATACATCACTGACTCTGATCTAAAAGAAAGAATCGCTTAGAAGTGGCTCCAGCATTGTTCCATGTGTTGACTCTAAGTGCAACAGTACTAGTCTGCTTCCTTTATCTCACTGTGTTCCTTGAGATATGCTTCTACTATATGCTGAACTTGGATTATTAGAGACTCCATGGATGAGACGTTCACTTCAAAAGAAAGGAAATCCACACAGTCTGGGAACACAAATCTTATCCAGAAACAAACAAGCCAAAGCAATGTGACTTGTATGACAAACTGAAAATGATTTCAGATTCAAATCATTCACTCTTCTTCGGATTTATGCCAGAATACACCGAATTTAATCATAAGAATGTTAGTTTCTAAAATACTTCCTAAATACCATGCTTCCCATAATTTAATAAAAAATGTAGCTTATCCATCTTTCCAGGCTGATTTGGAACTGCGCCTCTGTGCTCTTCTTGGGGAAACAACTTCTTTTTTTGAACAACTACTACCGTTTAATTGTGTTAGTGCACAGAAGCCTAAATTTTAGCTCCGTTCATCTGAAGCAGAGTGCAACACGCTTCTGTTACATTTTTCAGTTTGATGATCTTTTTGAATGTTTTTTTATGATGTAGCAGAAGTGTCTTGAGGAAGACAAGAGAATTGGAGACACTGTAGTCCTTTTTTTCTTTTACATGAGACATGCGCGCTGCATGTTTGAAACTGCAATTCAAAAATCTAAAACTGCGGAGTGTCAGTGTCATCATAAGATTAGACACAGCTCAGCCAGGATCAAGGGTCACTGTCTTGAATTGTCCTCGACAAGCTGTGAATTCCCCAGCAAGATCTACCCCCGCACTCCCCCAGCTAACTTTTTGCTGTCGCTATGGATTATCTGCCACGCTCTTTGTGTGTTACAACCAGAATCCCAGATGGCAATCTCCAGTGTTTGGGACTTCTGCTCTCCAGGCAGAGGCTTATAGCACATGAAGCACTCAAATTCCTGACAAAATACACACACTGTGCAATGTGCAATACTCATTATCAGGCTTCTCACTCTGTCTTGTAAGGATCACGTGGAAAGAGAAAAGTCTTGGTTTGCATATTACTCCCTCGATACTCGTGACTGGTGGTGATGGTAAAAATTTAAAGGTCTCCAAGGGAGCAGTGTACATTACACCAGGGGAGAACTGAGAGTTGCGTTAGAAAACAGTTTTATGAAATGTTACTTTAAGCAGCAAAAGTAGCTGAAAATCTTAGGAAGGAACACCTGTGTTTCTCACTGTTCTTGAGTGAAGTGAACATTATCCCTGTTCTTTATTGATTTCACTGTGGTCCTCTAAAGGGACTAGCAAGGATCTTGCTGTACTGATACATTTTCATGTAGGAGTGATACCAATGGATTTGCTTACTTTTAACAGCGCACTTTCAATCTGTTTACAGCCTCAACGAGAATCATGTTGTGCATTTTTTGTTGTTTAGAGCTGGAGCTAGCATCTTGTGCTGCACTGTATATCTGATCCACAAAACCCTGAAAATGCATGATTTATGACTGCTGGCCATGATCGTTAAAAGAGGGTGGAGTCTGATGGTACTGTAGGTTCTTTAATAACAGAATTAAATATTCAATAAAAGCATCAATGCCTAACCAACATATTTCTGCAAAGACGTCTCTAAACCTTTAATCCATACTCACAAGAATATTCACATTTGTCAGTCTGTCATCATTTGGAAGCTCCGGGAGAGAGATGTGGAAGAGTTGAATGGCGATCTTCTGAAAACAGAAGCTGTTACTGAAGGAAGGAGAGTATTCTGCTGAGTCTGCCTGACAACAGTGTTCAGTGGCTCTTTGTCTTATTTGTTTTACGGCTTCTGTCCTTGACACTTGCTAGTATAAGAAGATTATGTGGACCTTTCAGGCACCTTCTCATGTGATCTTAAGAGACCACCAAAGTTGAGGCCCTGGGGTTCAAGTTATACCTCCTCTGGAATCATCATCTGCACTGAGAGTTCCAGACACTAAGTCTGTTTTGACAGATCGAACTGACAGGCAGCCATTGGACAATGCTATGATTTCCAAAACATATGTTGTGACCGATTAAAGAAATATTTATGTATCTGTAAAAGATATGTTTCACAACATTTAATCTTTCTTAGGGCAAAAGAATCTTAAAATGAAACATTACAAATGATACAGAATAGGAATGGTTTTAAGCATACAAGAATATTGCTGTCTTTGGCCCTCACTTCTTTTGCGGGTCTTTTTAAAACACAGGAGAAAAGATTGTACTTAGTAGACACATTTGAAAATCACCTGAAGCTTATATTTGTCTTTTCCCTCTGTAAATGCACCACATATATCTATATAGAACACATATCTAATTGCTTACCTTTAAGGCCTAGGAACAAGTCTTTAATTCCACAGGATACAGGCAGTTACTGCATCAGTTCACTTTATGGCAAAACTGTGGGGCATCTGCATTTGGCGAACATGTTTTAAAGAAATAGAATCCAAAGGATAAACTCTGGGACAATAGAAGAATGTGTATAGTTAAGATTATTTGGTAAGAGTATATTTAATTTTGATAGATCTGTCGACAAGTGTTTCTTATTGTTTTCCGTTCTAAACTGTTCTGTGGCACTGCACTTCTTCCATTTGGCCAGAATAGTATTTTTTGTCCCTTTTCAAGGTAAAATTCCAAACAATGTTTGCTTCATTATCTCAGAACATTGGCTAAGATTGGTTCTGGGAAACAGTATTACTTTTGTTTGTTTTATCTAATTGGTGAAGGTATTTTCTGTATAATGCATCAGTGTTTCTCTAATCCCTTTTAATAAATATTATCTCAACTCATAGCCTTTGATCCACAGTCTCCCTCCCAAGAACATATGCAATCTTTACACAAAAAATGCACAAAGATTTACAACTTTACAACAAGCCTTGCTTGTTTGGGCTGTTCCAGTGTTTTTTATATAGAAGTGTTTAATAGGAATGTATTTTCTAAATCAAAATGTATTGAATGTCTTTGACCAGAATCCCTCTGTATATATCTTCAGAGCTCAGGTATGCACTAGCTGAACCTTTGTGGATTTTGTGTTTTGGTTTTTCTTTAACAATGACAGGTAATTACTTATAAAAACATGTTTCTTGATGCATAGCTTTGATTGATAATCAAGGCATTCCACAGTAAACGGGCATTGTTTGTATCAGCTTAACATTATGTTGAATAAACTGTTGGCAGATTTGGGCACAAAATACATATACAGTATGCACTTAACATACTGTGTTAACATACTTAATGACTTAACATACTTAATAACATACAATAATATGTGATATAAAAGTTTAGGTATTGAGAAGTTATTTTAAATAAATTGTATTGGTGAAGATTATATGATACTTCACTCTCTACTTTAAAATAAAAGCACCATATTATTGTTTTTAAGGGGACTGTAATAATGTGGAACTATGCAAAGTAAACTGCGAATTTAACTACTCGCTTTAACTACTCTTTGATCTTATACCCCTGAGAGAAAGATACACGTTGAACACCATTCAATTTGAACAATGGCTGAAAACCTTTTTTTGTTTACAAAGCTATTTAAAAGGTACACATCACAATTTCTCCAAACTTTACAGTACCCTAACATTAACATAGTAGAACATAATTGGAATACTTTAAAAGCTACTTTAAATTACTCTTTACAGTAGTTTAAAGTATTTCTTTTCTGGGATACCTTGAATTTGGGATCATAGGAGAAAGTCCACAGTATATTAAATATGGAAGACAGCATTGAGCAGGTTTATATCACAAAGCATATTCCACAAATACAGTGTTAGCATATTTTTTTCTAAAGGCTGAAAACATCAGATTACACAGTTGATGAAGAAATTCGAAGTTACAATTGAAATACAAAAATAATGCCATTTTAGTATCATTGCTGAAGTTGTTAGCTGAAGATTTAAACAATGCAATCATTTCATATTCTAAAATGTTAATTTTCTGATTAGGCAAAATAAGTCTTGAAAATAGTTACAAGCTATTTGGAACTATTTTTATTACTTCTGCTACAATGTCAGCACAGTTTTGTTTCTACATTTTCCCCTACATCTGTAGTAATTCATTTATTTTGTTTTCATTTTAATGTGTGGAACAATGGTTAATACAATACATTCACAGTGCAGAAGATAAACAGTATAGCATTTATAAACTTATAAAGTTTTTTCACCTTTTTATCTGTAATACTGTTAAATATTCTTTCTGCTATCAGTTACATTTTTTAGTGCTTAACATGTTAAAATATATCCTGAGGCCAGAGGGAGAATTTCAGATCAAATGAACATATACGTTTTGTTATAGACCTTGATACTTAACTAAAGTCACAAGTGGTATTACTTCAAAAGCATATTTCTTTGACTGTGATTGAACTCTGTTGAAAGTGTGCATGGCTGTTGTCATTCAAAGGCTACACATATTCATATCAGTGTCTAGTAATAATGTTTTTAAATGTATATACCATACCACAGTAAAAATGCCTTTCATTCATTGTTAGCATCTCCTGTTGTTCAGTATTGTACTGTATATGAAAGTAGAGGAAGTTCATCAGGCAATTGACACATTCAATTTAAACAACCAGCTGAAAAGTGGTTGAATAATTTGTCCAAAAGACCCACTTTCCCTGAAGCAAGCACTTCTCTGTCATTAGTCTTAGTATTTAAATATTTAAAAGGATTCAAATGCTGGACCCCTTTGTCTTCAATGCTGAATTCCCTCTGTAAGATAAAGAATTACAGCCATTTTAGTCTTTTATTCCTGAGATTAGCTCTTGAGTAATTATGAGTATTTTGAATGTAGGAGAAAAAGACAATGGAACACACATTTGTTGTAATCTCAAATACAGTTAGGAACGTGTATTTCCAAATGTTTGTGTTTCCCCTTTTTTCTCTTATGATAGAAAAGAATGTGCCAATATCAGAAAGACTGTCTGAGTGTACTGTCTGTAATAAAGCAGAGACACACACATTAAGTTAAGAATATTATCACATAAACTGCAAACAAAAGCACAAAGTGAAATGAATGAAAATAATTACACTCTTTCACACTTTAACTAAACTTAACTTGAACATTTTTTTTACATTTGAACTCAGTGATTTTCTTTTTTTTCTAGGTATAATGTGTCAATTGAATCCCTTTCTTTGGGCAGCATCACACATTAGTTGCTGATTGAACAGTTGTATGATTGCAACGTTGTGCTCTTCAGTTGTATATCCTTCCATTTTCTAGCTACTTCATCCAATACAGAGTCATGAGGGAGCTGGAGCCTATCCTAGCAAGCACCGGGTGCTGTGCGGGACACTCTGGACAGGATACCAGTCCATCACAGGGCAGACACAGACAAACACAGAACCGCACACATTCACAACAGGGCCAATTTTCCCAGAAGTCAGTCAACCTACCAGTACATTTTTGGACTGTGGGGAGGAAACCAGAGCACCCGACGGAAACCAACGTGAACATGGGGAGAATAAGCAGAGATCTGTGGAGAATTGAACCACAATTGAACCCAGGGCCCCTGCAGTGCTAGGTAGCAATGCTAACTCCTTCCAAAGCCCTAATATACTTTATCTTATATTAGGATAACATAATTAATGCTGTAGCTAAAGACCCATCAGAGCCAATCTAGGATAGTCCAATAGAGATCATGTCTTATTTACCACTGCAACTAGTAAGGTAATAATGAAAATGTAATTATTCCACTCAGTGAACTTACCATTTTGTACAATAAGAAAACCTGACCATTGTTGCAAATATAGCTTAGGCTGTACTTATGGTGTTGGAAATGCACACACAACTGTGTTGTTTGAAAATAAGAAGTGAAACAATCCCACTCCTTTTTCCAGTGTTGAACACTCTTGTTTTATTTCTCAGAGCCATTGCTTCCTTCAGCTGGAGAGCCCTTAGGAAGGGATATTTAGGATACTGAGCACATACGTTTTCATTTAATTATTAGCTCCCAGATGTACTTCATTTTATGGCATTCCACCCACAAGGAGGCACAGTAAAGCTAGCAGGGCACTGGTAAATATATTAACAAATAATGGGTTTTCCATTTTTTGTATTATCGTAAATAAAGCAAATATCATGTTCCAGAGACTAATTTCTTTGTATTATACATTGTATTGTCTTGGGAATGAGAACATTTGCAGCATATTATGTGGCCTACATAGACATCACTAGGAAAATCAGCTGAAAGTCAATACTATCTGAAGTCTCGCACTATACAGTACACTGTTGCAACCAAAGTCGTTCTAAAATAACGAAGTGGTGAAATGTAAATTGTAATCCTGTGACAGAGAAAATCTCCATCATGTTTTGTAATGATTTCAAGGTAATTGTGATTTATTTGGTCTTGATTAATTACCCTGTGATATAAAGTTCATAATTATTGCCAGTGACATACTGAGGTTAAAGTACTGTATACAGTATGTGCATAGTTGTATAGGACACTATTCCAGCTGGATTATAAAATCTCTCCCTTGCTTTTTTTCAGAACTATACAACTTAAGTGTAAAAACAAGTTAGATATTAATAACTCTTAGCACTATAAACAGTGATTTAAAAATAACCTAAAAATGGTTTGATCTCATAGCATTGTCAACAGCAAGATATACAAACCTTATAGTCTTTTGATTTAAGAAATCTCTTTCCTTTAAAATAGGTGACTTTCATGAATGCATGGCCGTATACAGTAGGTATTAAGAGCATTGAAATAGAGGAGTCCAATTTTATCCAGCAATTAAACTGTTTTCCAGAAAGTTTACCCCCATACCAGCTTCAATTGTTGCCCTTTTGGAGTCCTTTAATGTTTGAAAAATTATTTTAGAATCAGTGGTTTGTCTTTTGACAACTCCTAAAGCCACTTCCCTGTATCCCTTTCCAACCGCTAATTATTGACCGGGATTTTAAATCAATAGCATTTCCAAAGCTAGATGGTCTCATTTTCCCTTGTCAGCTTTCCAAGCCATTTGACATTTGCGGTTCAGAACAAATATTTGTAATAGCTCATAAGAACAATACCTTACTGCTTCCTTTTACAGTGATTTATTAAAGCATTTCTCTTGTGTTAGGAACATTTAAATATGAATTAATAGTTTGAAAGTAATATGATGGAAGGCTGGAATGAAGAATTATTCATTCTGAGTGAATGTGTCTTAAGTAGAAAGTTTCTGGTGACTGGCCAAGGCCTGTTGATTTAGCTCTCTTTCTGTGCTAGGATATAACAGACCACACATGTGGTGCCGACCATAACCAAATCCATAATGTTTAATTCCCTAAAAATAATCTTCCCAGGGTCTGTGAGGAATGGTCTGATATCCTGTTTAGACACTTTTCATTGTGCCAAACCTGACCATCAGGGATGTTTTCTAAATCAAGGACTACGTAATATGAGAATAAGCACTTCTTTTAACTCAGTCATGCTGAAAAACAGACCATCTACCCTATTGATTTCTGGCACTTGGCAGCAGCTTTACCTCAAAAGGCATTCTCACCCACAAAACAATCTATT